CACGTTTCTATGCTCTTGAACTGCTCTATGAAATACAATGTGTTAATGGTAGCACAGAAAAGAAGATGAAGACAAAAGGGTGTGTTTTTTGTTTGTGTGTGTGCTCAGTGCATACAAATATACCCTTATTCTGTCCTTTTATCAGTCATGACAAGATCATGTCAAGATCATGCCGTATCTTGGAATTCCTTCAAGGACAAGCGCAAGTTGATGAAAGCTCCCATTTTTCAACACACTTCTAGGGAATTACGTCCCACTTAGATGTCAGTGGGGCCTCCTTCGGAATGTAGGCTCACATTGCAGATGGCGTATCCAAATAAAGGTTTGAACTGATTCACTTGCTCTGGCATCTCGAACCTTGGCAGGCACAATTTAAAGGGCTGCAACCCATAGAAGCTTATGCCAAACAGATGTGTTAGCTTTGAGGTACAACAAGGATCTGAGAAGCTCTTGCTACAGAAGACGAACGCAGCTAATCCCTTGGAACTAGATAATCAGATTAACAAACATGTCGCTGTGAGAATTGTTTGTCCCAACCAGAAATAAGAGAAGTATTTTAAATCCAGATGTAGTCTAGCTGGAATTCCATAAGTTAGCTGCACGTTGTATGAAACAGTTCTCACATTGATCATTCACTGGTTAGCCCCAAAGTCTAGGATTATGAGAAAAGGAAATCCATTGTTATCTTTATATGGTTCATAATTTTAAGAACCTGTGTCAGGCCTACTCCGCAGTCACTATCTAAGTCACCTTCTCCAAAACATAGCAAGACCCAAAATGCTTTGGAAATGATTCTCTAAGTTTTTGGTTTTGCTGCCCATTCCCTGTATCTTTGTCTAGAATGACAATATTCTTTTTTCAGATATTCCAGCTAAAAATGCACGTGGTTCTCTGTGCGACTATAAGATTTATATAATAACTTAAAATATTTGTTCCCTGAACCTTTCCTTTTCAAGCAGACGTAGATTTCTAGCACAAAATGTAGCAGTTACAGACATTACACGTATTTTTGCTCATACAAGAAATAGAATAAAAGTCATGAATTCCTAACTGGCACTTCTGGCAAGGATGATAACCGCTATTTAACATTACAAAGGTGTGAACATTCTTTGTAACTGCCAAGCCCAGTTACATAAACTGCAGAAAGCTAAAATTTTAGCAGCACATATGGCTAGTTTCACACTTGTGTATAAATTCAAGAGAGCCGACGAGGGCCACAAAACTGCAGCAGACGACCTCCGAAAATCTGTTCAAGTTCCCTCTTTGTAAATTTTTTGGTTTCCTTCCCAACCAGTTCATCCTTCTAATGGGCCCTTTTAATTTCTCTTTCACCACAGACCTCAGCATAGTGTTTCCTCTTAGTCTGCTGCAGCACACAAGGCCTTGAAACATCCCATCCAGAGAGTCTGGGACATTACTTTTAAAAAGTAACTATGTACAGTGGTGCTCTGCATAGCGACGTTAATCCGTTCCAGGATTAACGTCACTATCCAGATTCTTCGCTATCCGGGCGGGGAAAACCCATAGGAACGCATTAAACTCCATTTAATGCATTCCTATTAGGTGAAAACTCACCGGTAAGCGAAGAATCCTGGAGCCGGTCGCCATTTTCGCGGCCCGGTAAGCGAGGGCAGGGCGCGAAAATGGTGTGGACAGCCATTTTCTGCACCTGGCGGCCATTTTGGAACCGACAATCAGCTGTTTCCAAAATGGCCACCGGGTGCAGAAATGATCGCAATGCGATGTTTAGCCTATCTAAACATTGCAATGCAATCGCATTAGCGACCCAAAAAATGGGTCGCTATGCAGATTCATCGTTAAACACGCTCATTAAGCGAGGCACCACTGTAGTTGTAGATGGTTCAACCATCAATCAAAATGGAAACTACTGTGAAGAACTGAGGAGAAGACAGAGAGGTGGAGGGTCATGCAGGAAGCAACTAGAAAACATCCTTAAGGGTAAGGATGTGTCACTAAGCCCAATATCACCCATGCTACTGTATCATATTCTGATTACTATGTAGGGATATCAAAGCTGATGGGGGGGAGATATTAATTTGAAATGTGTTGCAGGGTAGTTTTATGCATACAATGGGCCACAAGAAAGGGAAAGAAATGGATTGTGAATCAAATCTGAATTCTCACTACAAGTACAAATAACTACACTGAGATTACTGTACTTTGAACAGACCATGAAGGGAAAAAAGACTCATTGGAAAAAGCTATCATGCTAGCAAAAGTAGAAGGCAGTAGGAAAAGAATAAGAACTATAAGAAAGATTGGCTCAATATAAGAAAATACAGCCTTTAATTTTCAAGACCCGACTATGGTTATCAATGATAGGACCTTTTGGAGATCATTAATTTGCAGGGTCTTAATAAGTCAGAAACAGCATCATGGCACGTAACAAGAGCAAGTTACTGTAGCTTACCAAGTTGGAACAGGGTCAGATATATCTGTAAAAAGTTCATATCTCTAAGGCTGGGTAAGGAATTTGGGACCCAGTTTCACCAGGTTAAAAGCCCACAGCTGTCACCCTCATGCCCATGGTCTACCTCTTCTCTGCAAACTGCCTTCCTTCTTCTGCATTGGTCTCAAATTCTCTCTTCTCCTGATACTGCCTGAACTTAGCCAAGAAGTAAAACTCCCGCAATCTCTGAGCTGATTAATGTCACTCGGTTAATGAACATTTGGGGCTTCCTATCTGTAAGATAATGGCACACACATTTCTGAACACAGCTCATCAGAGAAGCTTTAGAATCATGTCGCATACAACTGCGGGTTCCAAAATCATATTTGGGGTATCCTCAGTGCCCCCCAAGATATATTCATGTTGCCTATACTTTAATTCAGACCATCAAATTGAAAAAAAATACCTCCAAATTTGGAGAACACTGGTTCACTGATGTATGAGAAAATAAGTAATTTTCACATATGCCACAGACCCCATTTTTTAAAATCAGACCATCTCAAATTTGATTAATATCTGTCTGGCTACTTTCATGTGATGCATCAGTGAACAGACAGATACACAGATATAACTTAGTTTTATTCATACAGATTAAGTTAAGATTTTTTTTTAAAAAAAGAAAAACTTTCTGTTTCTCAAAAATAACACAAACAGCTACTGCTTTTATTTTTAAAAATGTCTAAATCCTACAAGTCCCTCGCTTGTGGCACAAAAATCACTCTCTACCTGTCCTCCCTGTTGTCGCCTCAACACCCACCCAATATATAGCAGAAGGCAGTATTGCACATGGTACAGCATGAGCCGGTGCCAGAACCATGTGGCACTCCTTCTCTAACTCCAAACCTATATGGTGCTCCTCCCCTCTATTTCAAACCTTTAAAAGTAGTTTTTTTAAAAAAATCATCTACAGCAGAAAAAGGAGCAAAGATATCCTTTGTTAAATTACAGCCCCAATGTGGCTGAGTTATGCTTCAGTTACTGTATAAAGGGGTGCTTGGGAATATTATAGTTGTTCTTGTATCTGTATGAGATTTATATTTTGTCTGAGGTGTAGTGCCACGGTGAGTATCAGCTTTGGCAGAAAAATAAGAACCTAAGAGCAATGCTGATCACAGCAAAGGTGTGATCTAGGCCAGAGAGGAGCAACCTCCAAAGATCCAACTATGCCCACTTCTGGACCTTGTAGGACCGCATCTCTCCATCACCCTGTCTCAAAAAACGTTTTCTTTTAAAAAGCCTTTTTTTAAAAACTGAAACTGCCACTTCTTTCAGCTTCAGTGGATGACAGCATGTTTGAGTACTATGGGAAAAGCCCTTCCCTGTTTCTCTTTCTCCAAACTGTGCCCAATTTGAAACATTGCTGTTCTACCTGCCCTTCTCAGTAATCTAAAAGCAATACAGCGGTGCTTCGACTTATGAATGCCCCTACTTACAACCATTTCAAGTTACGGTCAGCTCCGGTCGCAAAATTTTGCTTCGACATGGTCAGCTCCGGCCGCAAAATTTTGCTTCGACTTGCGACCAGAGCTTCTACTTACAAACAGAAAAAGGCAGGGAAAAAGGCGGGAAATTCAAATAGCTAACTGTAGGTGGTGACGAGGCTGCTTCTTTGTAGCTCTTTTGCCCGAGCAGTTAGAGAGTGTGGGATCGGAGAAAGAGGCTTGGGACTGCCTCACTTCTGCTTCTGAGTGAGCATATGTGTGTGTTTGCAGGGAGCTTCCTCACTCCTGCATTAAACTAATCTTGTTCCAAAATGGCAGCAACTGGAGAAACAAACTTCTGCTCAACAGCCATGCAGGATCAGATGAAAGAGCGATAAAGTCAAATGCTTGCAATGTGTCTCAGTTCCACTCTGGCTGCATTGACATCACTTCTATTAAAAGGTAAAGGTAAAGGTTCCCCTTCAGATGAAAGAGCGATAAAGTCAAATGCTTGCAATGTGTCTCAGTTCCACTCTGGCTGCGTTGACATCACTTCTCTTAGCAATGAGAAATTCCCAAAGAATAGCAGCTCAACTTTTAACATCTGTTTATTACAATCATATCTACCCTACCCGCCAATGAGCTCAAAACAACATATAGCCTCTCTCCTCTCCACCACCCTCCAAACAACCTTGAGAGATAAGTGACATTGGAAGACTGCAGTCAGTCAGTGAATTTTATGGCCAAGTAGGGCTTTGAGCCAAGGACTCCTGGGCCTTAGCCCAATATTTTATACCTCCCTGTCTCGCCACTTCATCTCTCCATGTATATTAAACTGTCCCATTCAAATAGTACATTTCCTGACTTTAAAAGTGTAGTTTCTATTAATTACCCTTCACACAGAGATGCTCATATCCAGAATCCCTTGCTTGGAATGGAGGGGATAAAGGTGTCTACCCATCACCGACTATGGGAATATGATCTTCCCATTGTCATGTGTAGGTGTCTGGCCAGGTACAGCCCCAAAAGAACTCATGGCCCCAAAAGAACTCACAGCGATAGTCTTAAGCATATAAATTTGACAGCAAAACTCCTTATACCCTTTTTACCTTCGTTGAAATTATCATCGGCTGAGATGTGGGTTAGCGGAGACTGGGGGCGGGAGTCACCACAAAGCGAGTAGCTGTGCTCTGCCTGAATGAGGGGAGCCGGAGAAGCCGGTGACAGCTCTACTTCCATCATCTCATTTTTGTCCGACAGGAAAGGATCATTCAAGAGCTGGCCCAAAACATCCTGGGAGAAATCATCAAGGAACTCAGTGAAGTGCTGTAAGAAAGAAAGGGGAAGGAGAAAAAATGAGAGAATCTGACAATTTTGTTTAGATGAACTATAAACACAATTTCCCAAAGAATAGAAAAGTAAGTGGAAATAACTCTGAAGAGGGTTGACCAACCGTAGTCTTCTGGTATTGAAGACGTTTCAACTGCAGTCTTGGAGGCAACTGCTAATTCATGCACACAATCAAACCTGAGGACATGGATCTGAGCAAAAGCAAGCAGCTCTAATTGCATCGTTGGGTGCCTGCCTTCACAACTGAAGATGTTCAAAAAACAGAACTACCTTGCAGAATCAAGATTCTGATCACAGAATCTGACCTCTCCCCACCCAGAAAGTTCATAAGCTAGACAGTAACATCCCAAAGCAGGTCCTTATCAACCATGAAACTCACGGGGTGATCATGAGCCAATCAGCCTTTCCTACATCACAAGGTTGGTATGAGCATAAAATGGGGTATGGAGGAACAGAGAATCATAACTAGGGTACTACAATCAAGAAAGCACAGGGCTAACACACATTGCACAATTTCTTGGTGGTGGCATCATTCCAATGGAAATAGGATTTTTCTCTACATCTTTCTTTCAGATAACAGTTAAAAAGGTATCAGGAAAATTTCAAATTTGATTGCAAAATTTGACTGCTGCATGTTTGCATGGCTTTTATGATGTTTTTGGCAAGGATTTTAACATATGCTTTTAGATATTTGCGATTTACATGGCTGCAAGCTCTGATTTTGGGTATTTGCAGCTGTTAAAACTGTGTTTTATATGAATCATTAGCTGCTGAATCAGACTCTTATGAGAAAGAGTGGGAAAGCAATTAACTAAACAGGAACAAGGCCTTCTAGCCCTTGACCTTCTAGAAGAAAAACAAAATAGAAATATAATTACTGTACATGAATAAATACCAGAACTACATATAATGACTTCAAATTTTCATTTGTAGCTGCTTAGAACCAAGTAAGTATCGACAGGCCCATTCCTGCTGTCCTTCGGATCTAAAACAGATCGGCTAAATACTTGATAGCATGTCCTAATCCTGAGCTATTTATATACAACCCATAGATGTGTAGATTTCTCAATGTGATTTGGGACAATTTGTTTTACAGAGATTTGACTACAGATACAGTTCATACATGCAGGCCATCTCTACTCACACTCCAAATGAAATGAAAATAGACTGGTGGGGCTGCCACTGTGATCCTACCTCCCCTAAATGTGCCTTTAACCTAAGTCTTTTAAGCACAGAAATAGCACTTTTTATAGATCCTTTTTGTTCAAAAGTCACTTTCTGGTGCTGGCCATCTTAGAACCTCTGGAAAAATTCTGTTGGATTTCTCCACTTGCGGAAATGGCAATAACACAAGCATGTTGGTTTTTTTAAATGTTTGGTCAGCTTTTCATTGAGTGGTCAATTGTACAACCAAGGCATGATCAAGCATGTCCCAGAAAGCCTGCAAAAGAGCACCAATCACTTCCTCAATTAGCCCTACACACTCCATAGGCACAACAGGATTCTGGCCTCCAAAAAGTATTTCATTTTGACATACAGTATCTAATCCTATAGCCTATTTAGCTGGATGAATCAAGTTTGTGGAGAAACTACTCTCTTCCTTTCGCTCTTCTTACAACAGATGTTGACCATGCCACCACCCAATCTACTTTGTGAAAGTGAGAAGTAAATAAATAAATGCAGGTAAACTTGTGAAAGAGAAGCATTCCCATAAATACTGCACTACATCAGTGGTTCCCAATCTTGGGTACATAGATGTTCTTGGACTAAAACTCCCAGAAGCCTTCACCACTAGCTGTAGTGGCCAGGATTTCTGGGAGTTATAGTTCAAGAATATCTGGTGACCCAAGGTGGGAGCCACTTACGTACACGATCAGCATTTTACTGATTCTTTCCATCAGCCCATACTCGGGCTGGTTCATATAGGCATGTATACACTGTAATTCTCTAAATTTCATTACTGTATGCTTCACAGCCACTCATAAATATGGACTATTCTGTGATGACAATTATCATGAGGTGTAGATATGGCATCATGTAGAAACAGCCATTGGAAAATCCTAAATCCAGACCTTGCAGAAATAAACCATACATTGTAGTTTGCAGCAGTGTCCTGACCTTTCTTCTTTTCTCATTTGCTCATAGTTTTCAAAATCCTTACCAGTTAAGTACACATTCTTCTGTTTAGTTAACTCTATTTACTTAAAATGCATCAAGTGTGCCCTGCCCTAACCTTCCACAGGACAAACAGAAGATGGAGCAGACATTCCCCCCCCCCCAGCTGTACTAGAGGGCAAGAGCTAGATCAAATGGATGCAAGCAAGCTGTTTTCCGCAAAATATTGGCAGAAACTGTTTGATGGCCAGAGTTGTTGACAGTGGAAGGCTGCCTCGGGGTGTTCCTTTATTCAAGCAAGAAGTAGGCAGCTGCGTTTCAAATACAACAGACTCTGGAGTTGCAAAATTCCTGCACTGAAGAATGGGATGGAATAGGTAAAGGCAACAAATGTAAAAAGATGACCACCAAGACTTATTTCAAATTCTATACAGTGGGGTCTTGACTTGAGAACTTAATCCGTATTGGAAGGCGGTTCTCAAGTCAAAAAGTTCTCAGGTCAAATCTGCATTTCCCATAGGAATGCATTGAAAACCATTTGATCCGTATCTGCTCTTTTCCATCCATAGAAACTAATGGGAAGCTGCTATTCTGCCTTCGACCACTAGAGGGGGATATTCTGTTTCTTTTTTTCTTAGGTCAAGAAAGGTTCAGGGAAGGCAGGGAAAATACAGTCCAGGCAGTCCAGTACCAGGCAGTCTGAAGACTGTCTCCCAATCCACTCTCTAAACGCTGGGAGGAGTGAGGAAGCAGACAGGCACCCTTTTCACTGGCCAACAGTTAACTGAAAGTTCAAATTTTGCACTTTCCCTGCCTCCCACGTGGTTTTTTTCAGTTCTTAACTCAAATCTAAGTATGTAAGTCAAGTCAATATTTTCCTATGAGAGTGGTTCTTAAGTCAAAATGTTCTTAACTCAAGCCGTTCTTAAGTCAAGACCCCACTGTAGTTTATTTTTTTTAAAGTGGTGGTTGAAATGCATGCAGTGTCAATGAAAAACAGGAAAAGGATCACAGTCAAAGTCATCCAAAAGCAAAATAATAAGCTTTAAGATTATAAATCAAATGTTTGTGTTGTCAAATGGCCCAAAAAAAGAGTCCAAATGAATTAAGAAGCATGTTTCACCTAACCAAATGATACAAATTCCACTGAATATGCTGTCGAAATGACCACATCCTGCACATATGCATCGTGTCATACAGCTTGTGGTCTCCAAGCACCAAGAGGGTGGACATTTAGACCTTCAGCTGCAGGCAAAGATGCAATTTTTTTCTTGTTTGCTTGCACACTTGTCCCACAACAAAGTTCAAGCAAAGAGAAATGTTGAATCCAGGGCCAGTATAGAATTTTGCCACACTCGCATTTTTCAAACAAACATAATTTACACACTGCTGCAGATACACCCTAAAATCCATAGTTCTATAAACAGTGAACTAAAGTTTGACAATTAAAAATATCCAAAGGAATACATATTTTAAGAAAAATGCAAACACAAGTTAGTATTTGAAGGCAAAGTTCTCACAAAATTGGTTTATCCTATGGGGAGCATATGTACCGTAAAATAATGTGTGCTAGATATGTGAAGCCTTATAAATGCATAGAATGCAAAATCTACATGTATCACCTGATCGAGTCAGGAGGGGAGACTGAGGAGCCTGATGCCGAGGGAGGTCCGGAAGGAAAAAACAAGAAACTGGGCCTTCTCGGCGGTAGCTCCTCGCCTCTGGAATAATCTTCCTCCAGAGATCTGTGTGGCCCCTTCACTGGGCATCTTTAAAAGCCAACTGAAAACTTGGATGTTTAGGCAGGCCTTCCCTTCAGTTATTATTTGATTTATTTATTTTTCTTATCTCTTTCCATCTTGAATAACTCTACTACTGATGTCTAAATGTTGATATATTTTATATTGTTATTCTCTATGTTGGAAGCCGCCCAGAGTAGTCAATTGACTAGATGGGTGGGGTATAAATGCAATAAATAAATAAAGAAATACATAAAAAATAAAAAATAACAAAATAAAATGAAATAAACATAACTGCATACAAAAAAATATCTGAATAAATGTGTGTGAGGGACTAATTTTCATAAAGATTTTAAAAAACTATTCTCAAAATAACGTGGAAATGAGACAGAACAAATTTCTTACAATCTTAGAACTGCAGAGCTGGAAGGGACCCTACAGATCATGAAGTCCAGCCCCTGTCAAGGAGGCATAGTAGGGCACTGAACTCCTAATCTACTTAAATCACTGAGCTATCGAGCAGAAGCTGTCAAGGAGGCATAGTAGGGGACTGAACTCCTAACCTACTTAAATCACTGAGCTATCGAGCAGAATTTAACCATGGGGGTCTGATGAACTGCCCAAAAATGAGCTTGATGTGTTTATCTAACACCACAATAGTAGACAAATTGGACTTGCATTTGTTATTGTTAAAATGAAAGACAGGTATATTGTGTAAAAAAAAAAAAACACCTAGCCACAAGCAATTCAGACTGATGAGGGTGTGCAGGAAGGGAAAATGCAACAGAGGAGTGGATGACAACATCAACGCCTACTTGGAAGACAAGATGTGCAGCAGCCTCAGGACTTTTGGCTCACTGTGACATGGAAGGGAGGTGCTGGTGGCAAGAACGATCTTAATAATTCATGCAGACACACTACCTACTCAGCCATGAAATTACAAAATCACAACACCTGGCACATTTTGCAGCACATGCCCAGTTTCCCCACAATGCTCTAACCCACTGGTTCTTAACCCTGGGTTACTCAGGAGTTTTGGACTGCAACTCCCAGAAGCCATCACCACCAGCTGTCCTGACTGGGGTTTCTGGGAGTTGCAGTTCAAAAGCATCCGAGTAACAA